CCGGTTGGCACCACAGGCTTTCATCTCACAACACTACAATGGCACCCGCTACAGGCCCGGACAGCAAACCCAACAAGGTGAAGATGAAGAAGAAGATGAAGATGCAAGGGATGATTAGGATGCCCCCCAGTTTGAAGCACCAACACCTGCACCTGCACCTGCCTATCCCCATGGTTGGCAGGATTTCATGAGAGGAACAGATGAGGTCAACTGGTTTATGGAACATCCATTCACCAGCAAAATCAAGCACATCTTTGTTTCCAGCCTCATTTTCCACCACCACCACCACCTTGGCTTCAGGACCCACAGTACATCCCAGACTTCTACCGGGGGTACCAACCACCACCACCTCCGGATGCAGATCAGTAGCAGGTCCTAGGGCAATCCTTCAATTCCTTTTTCCTTCATTTATTTTGTTACATTGGGGACAATGTAACTCTTTAAGTGTGTGTGTGGGGGGGGGGGGGGGGGGTGGATTGGAGTATTTTCCCTTCTTTTCTTTGTCTTTGCATTTTATTGTTATTTAGTCTTGTTTTCTTATTTTATGCTTAATGTTTTAGATTGGTCATTTGCATTTTTACCCAAAATTGTTATTCCTTTGGTTTTTGTAAAACTTGTGCTTTTTAGGCTGCTTGTTCCCCACTTGAATACTTTGCTTGAATGACTCATGTCCTTTGTTTCTAATGAACTGCTTGTCTTGACACTTAATTGCACTCGCTCTCTTGTGTTGGGTAGTGGTTTGTTTTGGTGGAACTTGCTGCATCTCATTATGCCATGGATGAAATCAAAGTGTAACACATTAGCAATCCACCCCCTTGTCAATACCCTTGCTACCCACTCATAACCAGACTTATTTCTTAATTTAGTGGTTAGTGCGTGTGTTAGTGAAAGTTTATGTGGAATTCCGGCATTGGTTGGCTTACTAGAACTTGTCCCTTTACTCCTCAGGTGTAGGCTAATTTTTGCATGTTTAGAAATGATTTAGGCCATTCTTTGTAACCTACAGCCTTTAAACCTGTCCCTACATATGTTTTATCCTTTGTGTCCCCCTTGTGCCTTTTGTTTGTTTAAATAAGTGCTAAGCACTTATCCCTTCATTGTGATTGTTTTTCTTTGATTTACCCCCATTATTATAACCCTTAGCCCTTGGCCAAATATTTTCCTTCCACCCTAGAGAGAATGTAGCTTTTGTCTTTAGAAATCTTGTAGAAGAGATCTCTTTGGAGCTTACCTTAAAAGCAAATTTGTTCCAGAAAAGTTAAAGTTTGGGGTTATTACTTGTTTGTATAAACCAGTTCATCTCTTATTCAGTTTGTAGTGTTGATTCTATGTTATGCAAAAAAAGAGAAAAATCCAAAAAAATGCAAAAATGTTTTTTTTTTTTTTTTTAAAAGTATTGTCTTTCCATATTCAAAAGAAACCCAAATCAAATTTTGATTGAAGAAATTCTTTATATTAGACCCCCATATCCTTCAGAGTTGCTAAAGTATTGATGAGTTGCTTTTTGCTCCCTTATTCACCATAGGTTCATCTCTTCTGAGATTCAAAGCTATAGATAATTGTGTCATTATCTCTCTTTTGTTATTATTCCATACCCCTTTTTTGTTATAAGCCATGACCCTTAGCCCCATTACAAGTTTAATAAAGACCTACTTGATCTTTGCATGCAATTTTAGTTCTATACAGGAGAAGTATGAAGGGCAAGCCTATGATGTTTCTCTGGTGTCGTGTTCTGCATAAACCTAACTGAGTACATGTGCACACTAGATTGCTCATTACTAATAATCTTGGTGCTTGTATACTGGCTTGGGAACGGACCTTGTGTGCCAAGCAGAGATGATTCTGGAAGCATGTGTTTTGCAGTAAGTTGGTTTGCGGTATGCTAAGTTGTGCACGAGAGAGTGGGAGTGATTTTTTGTGTTTGAACTGTGGTTTTGCCTAGTTGTTTTTCTTGAGAATAAGCAAACTTTCAAGTGTGAGGGGGTGATGTAATCACATTTGTGCATGTTTTTATTGTTATTTTGAATCATCTCAATAGCTTAAGTTCTTTAATTTTGCTTATTTAATTCATGTTTTCCTTGCTTTCTCATTAGAATATGGTTTTACACTTGTTTTGAATGTTTTACGATGTTTGATAGTGTTAACCATTACAGGTTAAGTGCAAAAGCAAGGGGAGATTTTCAAGCACGAATGGATTAAAAAAAGAGGAAGATGTTGAGGTATCACAGCCTCGATGCGTCGAGAAATTCCAGAAACTAAAGACCGTGCCCAGATCAGAGGCTCGACGCGTCGAGAGTGCGTATTGCTGAAATATTTGGAAGCCTGAAAAATTTCCTAAAATAATTCCATTGGGTTCCCACTATAAAAGGATCATCTTCCATCAACCCCAGAGTTCTTTTTCCAGATTTTGGTATTGGAAGGCAAAATGAAGAGCAAAAACCAAGAGGATCAATTTCAAGATTTACAATTGGCTTTGGAGTAGAGAATTGGCTAGGAAGATTCGGGAGAATTCTTTCCCTCTTTCTCTTATTCCTATTGTTGTTGTTTATCTTTCAAGATTGTATTTATTGTTATTATAGCCATGAGTGGCTAAAAACCCTTAGGGATTTTTGTGTGAATTTGTTTATGAACCTATGTGTCTAGTTCTTTAATTCTTTAATATATTTATGTTTGGTTTTATGCTTTGTGTTCCAATCTTGTTTTAATCTGTTGTTGCTAGTATTAAAGGCCTAAATTACTAGCTTCATAGCCATGTTCATGTCATAACGAGAGTTAGGAATAAATTAGGGCTCACACGATTGCACTTGACTGTTGCACATTGAGAAAGGGCAAATTGGTTGGGGAATTTATTCTAGATTGTTGCACATCGAGAGATGGTAGCAATTGGGAATTAATGAATGCTGTTCTTCGTTCTTATTGAGTGTTTAAGCCACGAGAGCGGAAATTCACTAGGGATAGAGATTACGAGAGTAATTCAATTCCACCTTGCATTCTCACACTAGTCTTAATTCCAAACTAAATATTACAACTTTGATTGGCACTAGGAGATTAAACATTGTGATCCCAAGAATCCTGCTTTGCTCTATTGCATACAACACCTTGTTAATTAGTTTATTCTGTCTTTTATTTTCTACAATTATCAAATCTTCAAGTTTCGTTCAGATTAGTTCCATATGAGTAACCAAGTAGCTAGTGCTTAGTACCCTACTTCCCTGTGGATCGATAACCCGAATACTCCGGGTATTATTTGTTTGCCTAAATTACCGCAATCATCGATCACTTTTTCCTTGACGTCTTTTAGCTGCTTCATCTGTCGTTGGTGAAGTCAGTACACGTAGGCCTGCAGGGTCAGCAAGTCATTGGCCTCGGGAAATTCATGGGGAAACATCGCGTACGGTAGTCTCCTTGATAGTGGCATTCGTATATCTTCTTCTTCGGTTGCATGAGTCACATTTCCTGCAATTGCTTACAAGAGAAACGTTCTCAATTACGCCTGGTAATAAACAAGATAACCTGCCACCTGTTGAGTATAAGCACATTGTAATCAAATTCCCTTTATCAAACTCAAAATTGAATTACGAAATTTTATCAAAATTTTGACATAGTTTCCCCTATTTCATGATCAATTTTCACACTTTAAATTGAGACAAAGATGACTAACATTATTGCACATTCAACACATTTATCATTACAAGCTCAATTCTAAAAGTCAATAAGTCAACTTCATCTTCTCCAACTAGTCCATGAATGAATTCATTACAAAAGGGTTCATGCAAAATCATGGTGGCATCCACTCACATTATACAAAATTGATCATCTCAAGTATGCAATTGCAATTTCTCACCAACAATTTCATCATTCAAGACATATTACAATTCAAAATAAAAAATCCCCAAATTTTACACCTAGGGTTCATGCTTGCATCTATGCATCAACAACAATGTCATTCAATCACAAATTGATCATAAAAATATGTCACAATCTCAACAACTAAGCAATCCTAGCAATTTATATGGATAAAACTTCATAAAGAACAATCTACCATCTTTCAACCTAGAGAGAGAAAACTATAAGCTTCATTAATGGAGATTAGGAGGTTGAGATGGTTACCTTGTTGTTGGGAAGACATTGTTGAGAACTTGAAACCTTCAAACTGAATTGAAGAAGAAGATGGAAAAGGAAGAATACCTTGCGTTGGAGAGAATGAAATTTTCGTTGTGGAAGTGTAGAATGAGAGAATGGGAGGTTTTGAGGGTTTAAATCTCGGAACCCTAAATTCTGGAGCTGCAACGCCCGTCACAACGCACGTTGCGTCGTGCGTTGGCCAATCGTCTTTCCCCACAACGTGCGTTGCGAGTCACATTGAACTTTTTGTAAATTCCTCCCTTTTCAGCCATCCATCGACGCACGTTGCCTTGGCATTGTAGAGTGTGTTGGCCGATCGAATTACTTCACAACATTGGTTACAACGAGCGTTGCCACACACGTTGAACTTTATGGAATTTTTCTCTTTTTCCTCTGCTCAGCAACATGGTCCACAACGTTGCATTGTGGATGCCCCTGTTTCGTTGGACCTTTGGCTTGTGTCACAACGCAAGTCACAACGTGCGTTGTGACTTCCCACTTCTCTTCTTTTCGGTGTTTCTCTCCTTGTTCAATTCCTTCAACTTCACAATTTCCACATCCTGAAATGTTAGCTTTTCCACGTCTAAAATAACAAAACAATTGAGGTCACAATCATCATTTACACTTTATTCACAAAAACTGAAAAGCAAAATAACAAAAATCTAAAATGAAACCTTGCGTTGCCTCCCAAGAAGTGCCACATTTAGCGTCATTGGCTAGACGCGTTACCTTTTCATCCTCCTTCGAAGTTGTTGGCCTTTAGGCACTTAGGCACCTAAGACAATTTTCAGATTTCCCACCATGGCCTAATTGAATTCTTGGCTCTTTTTGTGATCATCGAGCAAACATTTTCTTTCTTTTCCTTTTGGTTCTCATCAACTGTCCCCGTTGATTCTAAAGATGAGTTTGCTCGTCCCTACATCGATTAGGGCACGACAAGTAGCCAAAAATGGTCTTCCTAGAATCAATGGCACCTCCAAATCCTTTCCTACGTCTAGCACCATAAAATCAATCGGTACAAGATTTCTTCCAACTTTGACAAGAACATTCGCAACCACACCTCGGGGATAACGAGTAGTCCCGTCGTCTAACCGAACAACAAGTGGTGTGGGAGCTATACAAGGAAACTTGAGACTTTCAAAGATATGGGAAGGCATGATATTAACGGAGGCTCCCAAATCGGCTAAGTCATCTTTAAAAACACAATCTCCTATAACACATTTCACAAAGAAAGCACCTGGATCACCTTGCTTGCTTGGGCATCCTTTGTGAAGGATAGTCGATGTCTCTACACTAAGTTGGATTTGAGATAAATCATCCTCTTCATCACTATCAAAGTCTTCATTAACAAAACATGCACGACAAAGAGTATTCAAGATAAAATCTTCCCTTCCATCACATTCAAAATCTTGACGGTTGCCTAATCTTGTCTTACGAGGTGTTTGAGTCTTGCTTTTTGATAGCGGAGCTTCTTTCTCAACTTCTTTAAGGGCACAGGAGGTGTCAGTTTCTTCCTCCTTACTCAAGAGACCACAAGAGGTAATCACTTGCTTATTGACTTTCACGGTATAGGTTTCATCTTCTTCACACACCTTTTCCATTGTATCTTTTCTTTCTTCTTCTTTTGGGCTTACTACGGACACCACATTCACTCTCTCCTTGGGGTTGTTCTCGGTATTACTTGGTAGTGTTCCCCATGGTCTTTCGGACATTAATCGGAACATTTGAGACATTTGAGTTTCAATATTCTTCATTGAAAGAGTGCACTCTTGTTTCACTGAGGCTATTTCTTGCCTAATTTCTTGTGTGATTTCTTGCCTAAAGAATCCTTGGTCTCTTTTCAAATCATTGATGACCTTGGTTAAACTTTCTTCTACATCCTTTGCCTCACTCTTTTGCATCACCATCTCACCTTGGGAGTTTCTCGGGGGTCGGTAGAGAGTGTTAGATTGCCCTTGATTGTAGTTGGAGCCAAATGTAACTTTTTTCTCCGCTCCCATGCCATAAACATTCTTTCCTTGAGGTCGCCCTTGTTATCCTTGATTTTGCCAACCACTTCCTTGTTTCCAATTTGCATTCTCACTTCCCCACCCATCCGGTTTTTGTGGTGGTTGATAGTTTGCCGCCTCTACCTCTTCAATTTGAATTGTAGATTTGCAAGTGTTGGTGTCCTGGGGTCCTCCGCATAGGTTGCAATACAACGCTAGGACCATGCAAGGTTGGGATTTTGCCTCTAATTTCTTGACAACCGCTTGCAACTTCTTGATTTCTTGAGTCATTGCTTCGACTTTCGCCTCATGGGCCACACTCTCCTTCACTTCATACATCCCCGGCCTTGAATCCCTCTTGTTGTACCAAAAGGATGTATTTGATGAAATCTTTTCTATTAAAGCCTCGGCATCCTCCAGTGAGGATGATACGAAAGCTCCACCTGAAGATGAATCCAACAACATTTTTCCTTCGTGCATTAGGCCCCCATAGAACAAGCTAATTACGTCCCATGGGTGTAGCAAATCCAATGGACAATTTCTTCTCAATGATTTAAACCTTCACCAAGCCTCACCTAGACTCTCCAACGAGCCTTGTTTGAATTCTTGCACTTGCTTGCGAATCTTCATGGTTTTCGTTAATGGGAAGAATTCGTTCATGAACTCCTTGTGTAGTTGAGCCCATGATCTAAAATGATCATCATCTTGTGAGTCCAACCATCTTAATGCTTCACCTGAAACAAAAAGTGGAAACAATTTTAGTCTTACTATTTCGTCGGGTACTCCTCATTGTCGAAACATGCCACAAGCCCGAATAAAACGTGTGATATGGGTGTGGGGATCTTCCAAAATTGTCCCTCCAAATGGACTGTTTTGGACTAGACTTAGGACCGCGGGATGGATTTGAAAGTTGACATTTTCAAGAGGTGGGACACAAATCGAGTTATGCATTGAGAATTCGGGCTCCATATAGTCCGCAATTGATCTTCCTTTCCCCTCTTGAGGTACTTCATAATAATCATCATTCCCAACGTGTTCCAATTGGTCTTTCCCCGCATTTGCTTCTTGCCCTATAGGTGGTGGATTTGCATGAATTGGAGTTCCTCCTTGTGCATTTCCCTCTTGATGGTTTAATGGTGGTGTATGCATAGTAGATTCTCTTCCTTGTTCCATTCCTTGAGTTTGATTACGGCCACCTGAAGAAGCCATATCGTTCAATGGAATTGGTTCTCATGTTGTCCTCCTTCGGATTGCCTTATTGATTTCGGGTTCAAAGGCCAAAAGTCCTGTGACACCCCGTATATCCAAACTCTAATCAAGGATTAATTAGAGAATTAATCCTAGTCTCTTTGTTAATTTATTCTTAAAAATCCTGAAATTCAATAGTCGAGGGACTAGATTTTGACTAGTCACTTAAGTCAAGGGGTTGTACCTTGTGCTTCTTGAGTTGTGCCCTTGTTCCCTTGTCTTTCCAACCTTAGTAAGGGTAGGGATGTCTTTTTACCTAAAGTTTGTGATTCAAGCTAACCTAGCCATACTCTCTCATTTCATTCACCCTACAATCTGAACACAAAAATCTCTAGCCTCTCTCCAAAAGAGTTAGCTTCTTCTCCAAGCTAGGATTTGAGCATCCCAAATCTTGCAAGTTTGGCTTCCAAGATTCCTACTTTCTTCATCTTGAGCATAGGGGAGGGAAAGATCCTTGGTCTTTTGATGTTTTTAACCACCTTTTAGGTCTTTTTTTCTAATGATAGAATCTTTGTTGTCTTTTGGTTTGTGTATGAAGTTGGTGTGGAAGATGAGCTTTAAGAAAGGCTTTCTGAGGGTGAAAAGAGGAAGTTATTAGGCTACAAAGGTAACCTATGCTTTACAAAACCTATTTTCTTACCTATATGATGATTTCTTGGCTTCTACTTGTGATTCTTGGGTTGATTTGTGATATTTGATGCATTATCTTGTGGTGATGCATGTTTAGAGCTTGTTCTTATGGTTCTTGAATGCCATTGCTTGGCTATTTCTCGGGTTTAAGTCATATTGTTGTTTTGTGTGAGATTTGGGGTGTTTTGGACTTGAATTTGGACTTGTTGTTGACAATCCCGAAGGGAATTGTTGGTGTACAGGAGTGTAACACCCCAGATTTTCAAGACTTTTAAAACTTATGAAATAAAGGTGAAATCTCATTAAATTCCAAAAACATAATACAAGAGTACGGAGTGCTATGCCACACCTGAGCTAGAGAACTCAGGCGCACAGGCTAACTAACTAATCTCCTCAATAATGTCAATGCATAAACATGGCACGCAGGCCGAAAGGGAAACTATCTACTTCTACGTTCCAAGTTCTAGCGCGTTCCGGTGACTTATTCTTCTGTGCCTGAAAGCCAAATATATCTGTTCAGCGAGAGATGCTGGTAACCCACTCCAACGCGTTGAAATACAATACATATATATATATATATATATATATATATATATATATATATATATATATATATATATATATATATATATATATATATATATATATATACGAAAAGTCATTTTGAAGCATGAAGATATATCCTAAGAGACTCTAGCTTTCAAATCAGGGGACCGACTCGACAAATAGGGGTACACACAATCTACAGTCATAACCAGCATATACAATTCTCACATAGGAAACAGTCATAGATAAGCACAACCAATAATCACAATTCAGCATTACTAGCAAGAGCCCTATGGTCATGTTCCCATGACAGTCATATCATCAATCCTTCTTATCTCATCACATAGCACACTTTGTTGGCGCCACAGGACCAATCGCATGCCCATACATGAGGGTCAGCGCATATAGCTCTGACACGGCCCCGCAGCACCCTGCCCCGTCTCACACTACGGAGGGGTCGATCGCAACCGACCGATGAGCCGCAGCTCTATATAATATTTATATACCTGACCGGTCTTTACCAGCCTGGTTAACAGTTGGGATGGTTCTCAACCCATTCAACTGCCCGTATAGTGGACCTTTGTCCTATATAATATTTATATACCTGACCGGTCTCTACCAGCCTGGTTAACAGTTGGGATGGTTCTCAACCCATTCAACTGCCCGTATAGTGGACCTTAGTCCTATATAATATTTATATACCTGACCGGTCTCTACCAGCCTGGTTAACAGCCGGTATGGTTCTCAGCCCACCCGACTGCCCGTATAGCCCGATTGATCTCAACCAAATCGGGGGTAACATGCACACATAACACATAGCAAGCACATACAACCCACATTAACACATTGGGAAGGGGGAGAAAACGTATAACAAAACCTATGCGTGATCCTTCACATTCTAGGGATAGTCCTAAGGGGTTCATACTTCTTTCACCTAGGTCAACGGGATACCAATTCAACTAGCATGCAATATATAAGACTCATACGACCTACGAACGATACCCGAAAATCAAACTAGACATAGGCACGATAGATGGAGTCCGTTGGGACACCACGGGGATCAGGGGAACATCAAACGGGGAAGCCAGGATCCCGAGGTGGGGTACAAACCAGCCGTTCTACTATTCCGGGCAGCGGGTGGCCGCTGCCGGCGTTGCCCAACTTGGCCGCGGGTAGGTGGCGGGTCCCCTACCCCCACCTACCCCCACTGACTCTTTTTCATCAAAAACGCCCCGGGAACCTTTGTGGGACCCGAAACCATGCTTAGACACTTTCAAACGCAATTGATAACACACGTAGACAATTAACGGATCAAAATCAGGAAACAAACGGCACATAACCTATCATGCTTTTCTAAACATAATAAACACCCGATCATGCGAATTCCCACCCAATATACCAAGAATAATTCCATACGATACAACCTAGGGTTCTAATCATTTTTAAATCAGCAAGGGCACAATTCATCTTCTAATATCAAGATTCGGTAAGAATATCACATAAACATCAAGAACATCCTACCACCATCAAGAACATCATATAATCATCAAGAACGTTATATAATCATCAAGAACACCATAATTATCAAGAACCTTTCATCATCAAGATCACCCATGGAATCATCCCACCAATCATCAATAATAATATCACAAATCATCAATACACAATAATATGGGGAAATCCTGAGAGGGGAATCATAGCTATGAAAATAGGTTTTGTTGAGACATGGGTTACCTCTTAGCCTTAATTAATTCCTTGGCTATGAAGGGTCTTTCTTTAAGCTTTCTTGCTTTCTTGATTTCTTCAAAGGGAATTCTTGGAGCTCTTTTGGGGTGGTGGGACGTTTATTGTGGTGGGGGGTTCTAGGTGACTCTTAAGTCCCCTATTTATATATTTAGGAGTCCTAGTTAGGAACTAATATTATAGGCTTGCTAATTCTATTTCTTTTGGGACTAAGGATTGGGTTTAGGGATAAGGGCCCGTGGACTATGGTGGGCCTTTCCTAATTAATTCTTGTGATTTAATTCTTTCTTTTGGGTAATTGATTAAATGATTTAATTGATTTTAAGGATCGTAACACGGGGTGGTACACTCTCCCCCCCTTACGAGGGGCTTCGTCCCCGAAGCCCGGTGTGCTAATCCATTCTTTCACCCCTAGGTATCCCGTATCTTGGCCTCCCGGTTAGGAATGTGGCCCCACGTTTTGCCTTAGCTGGGGTAGACTGGATTTCTGGTGGTGTTGTGACAGAAGGGTTTTAGGTCTACCTCGGTTTCCTGCTCCTGAGCTGGACGCCCCGCGAGTGCCCAAGGTGGCCTCGATTGCCGCCACCCTCTGATCTAGTGCGCGTGTCGTACGAATCAGGGATGAGAATCCTTCCTCCATGATTTGGCTTTGCAGGTTGAGTTGCGCGAGTATGCGTTCATTGATTGAGCCCTCGTTTTGCTCCCTTGGGTTCCCTCCTGATTGTGGTTGCACCGACGGGTTGGGTTCGTCATCCTCCTCCTGGTCCTCATTTCCCTCCAGAATTCCGCAATCTTGCATTGCCCGTTTGAGCTTCTTGTTGGAGATGTCTAAATGGTCGACCAAT